AAAGAATTAATCTAAAATAAATATGTGGTATTGACAATAAACTGATTAATACAAAGAATTAATAAAAACATAACTACTAAAATTACAATTATATTTCAATAAAATAATACAATCACTTATTATTAAAAATATCAATTATTTAACTCTTGAAATTATTATAATAAACATAGAACATATTAAATTCACACAATTAAACAAATTTCATTATTAATAATATCAAATATGATTATATTTATTTATTGTATTGTATTTAATACAAATAATATAAAATATTTATAAAATAGAAATGTTCAATTTGAATAATAAAAGATATTTGTCATTATATCATTTTGATTATTCATTTTAATTACACACTCTTATTGATTTAATTGAATAATGGTGTGTTAACAATTATTATGATTATTATTTGAAATACAAATGTTTTGAAGAATCAAATAACAATAATTTCATTTGTTTTTTGTCGTTTTTATTTTTGTTGTTTTATTTATTTTTGTGTTTATTGGTTTGTTGTTATTTATTTATTGTGTTATTAATAAACCATTTTAAAATTATTTATTTTTAATTTATTTAAATTATTTTAAACATCTCTTTACCCCCTTTTCATAAAAATATGAAGTTATGAGAAGATGATAAGATGAAATAGAATAAGTATGTTAATCATTATAAAATCATAATAAAATGATAGTTAATGAGAATGAAAGAATATGTTTTCTATTGTCAAATTAATTATCATTGCTTATTTTCATTTAAACATATTTCAATTAAATTAAATATGAACAAACCATATTCACTTTATTTTCTTAAACAATCATTTAATGTTAATATTTTAACAATCAAATTTTTCTAATTGAAATTTTAAGAAATATTTGATTTCATTGAATGATAATAAGAAAAGAAATAATAATCCTTTTCATTACAAATTCATACAAATAAATTAAAATAAATTATATAAATTTATTATATTCTAAAAATAAAAGAATAACAAAAAACAAAGAAAAGTGTAAAATAACTCAAATAAACAAATACAATGTGGTTTTGTTTATTACTTCTATTTATTTCATTTTGTAATGGTGAGTATTGTCAAAAAGTGGAAGGGAATGATATTGTAATCTATGAAAATACTTTTTGTACTGATTCTACTTTAACTTCAAAAGAATTAACAGGAGATTATACGAAATATTCATCAGTTATTATTTCAATAAATAATAATAATTGTGGAAAACTTTATTTTGGTTCAAGAGATAATACATTTAAAGCAAATAAAATTATTGTACGATTAGAAGAAGGAAATACTAATAATTATTCTCTCTTATTTATGAATATTGAAACAAACATTGAACTTGAATTAATTAAAAATTCTTATTCATTTGAAAATGTTCAATTTACTTTCTTTAATGGAAATAGTCCAACAAGAATAACTGGAGATGCTGATGAGTTGTTAGTTAGTGGAAATGATAATTATAATTATAATTATCATTTACCTATTCAACGTACTTACTTCAATTCAAATCCTATTAATTTAAAATTTAGTTCTAATTATGGTATACAATATTTAATATCATCATATGAAGGATCAATCAATCAATTAACACCAAAATCATCAAATGATAAATATTTCAGTCAGACATGTGATGGAATGGTTCGTTATTTTAGTTATAAAAGTATCGAAATTCATGATATAACAACAGAATGTAATCATCAATTTAAAAAAAAATGATGAAGATGATGATTTTAATTCATTTATTGTTACTACTACTGTATCTTTATCTAATTATATTTATCAAATATCATTATCAACAAATAATTATATTATTAGAAACAACTATGATTCATCAAAGACTCATACAGTATATACATATCCTAATCAATGGTTAAAATATGAATAAACAAATAAATAACATTCAAAATTTATAGAAAGAAAGAACCATATCAAATAATCAAATTCATTTTAACAATTGAAACATCAAATGAAGGAACAACATTAATTAAAGAAGTAGAAAATAATGATAAATCAATTTCAACAGTAATTATTTCTTCTTCAAAACAATTAACTAGTTTAACTAATATAGAATTTTCAAGAGCATCAACAAAGAAAAGTCAAATAATGATTATAGGAATGAAAGGAATAACATTAGATAGTATTGGATATAAGAATTGTAATATGATGATTTATAAAGAAATACAAGAATGTATTCAATGTGAAAAAGGATATTATTTAAATTCAAATAAAGAATGTCAATATAATTCACATTGTATTAAAACAAATAAACAAAGTCATTGTATTGAATGTGAATATGGATATTATTTAAATTCAAATAAAGAATGTCAATTATTACCAGATAATTGTGTTGCAGGATATAAAACATATTGTTATCAATGTAAAGAAGGATTTATTAAAGAAAATGGAGAATGTAAAGAAATTGATAATAAATGTAATAAATCAGAAAGAAATTATTGTTTAAAATGTTCAAATGGATATAAAATAGAAAATAATCAATGTAATGGAGATAAAGAAGATCAATGTTATTATGAAGGAAATAAATGTGTATCATGTTCAAATAGATATACATTAAACAATAAAAAATGTTCAAATAAAGAAAAGAATCAAAATGGAAAGAATGAAGAAATATATTGTGAAAATGGAAAATACATTGATAATAATAAATGTATAGAATGTTCAAAATCAGAAATATGTCAAACAAATGATATTGAAATAAAATGTAAATATGAAGAATATTTAGATAATAATAAATGTATAAATAAAACATGTGAAAAAGATATGATAAAAGATCAAAATGGAAAATGTAATAATAATATTCAAAATTGTTTAAATAAATCATATGTTAATGGAAAATGTGTTGAATGTTTAAATACATATTCACCTAATTTGAAGGGAGAATGTATTAATACAACAATAGAATATTGTGAAGAACAAAATACATATGGATGTAAAAGATGTGAAGAAGGATATTATTTAACAAAAGACATGAAATGTTTAAAATGTGATGATAAATGTGAAACATGTTATGGAACACCTACATATTGTATGAGTTGTTCTAATGATAAATATTTAAGAAATGATAAAACATGTCAATCAAATGAAGAATTAAATGAAACATGTTTACAAATATTAGCAGATGGAAGTGGATGTGGAATATGTAATAAAGGATATTATAGAAATGAGAAAGGATGTTCAAAATGTGAAAAAGAATGTTTAACATGTAATCAAAAAGATAAATGTATAAAATGTGGAGAAGGATATTTTATGAGTTCAACAGGAATATGTAAATCAACAACAACAATTAAAGGATGTAAAGGAGAAATAGATAAAGAATATGGATGTAGAGAATGTTTAACAGGATATTATTTAATAAATAAAGAATGTTCAAAATGTGGAAATAAATGTATAACATGTTTAAATGAGAAAGAATGTAATACATGTGAAGATGAATATATAATAATAAATAAAGAATGTATTCATTATTCAAATATTAATAAATGTAAAGAAACAAAAAATAATAAATGTTCAAAATGTTCATTTTGGTATGGAATCAATGAAGAAGGAACAAAATGTAATAAAGAAATCGTATGGTGGATGATAATGATAATTATCATCATTATACTTATTATCATCATTATAATAATTATAATTATAATAATAATGATTAATTACATTATAAAACGCAAAGAAAAGAAAGAACAAGAGAAAACAACAACAATATTTAAAATTTCACAATCAAATATCAAATTCATATCACTTGGAGATGGAATAATAACAAATAAAAAAGAAATAGAAATAGGAGAAGGAGAAGAAATTGAAGTAAATAAAGAAATCAGAGAATTAATATGTATTGGAAATGAAAATAAAGAAAAAAAGAAAATACAAATAAGTAGTAAAGAAGAAAATGAAAAATATTCAATTAGAATCAAACCAAATATCATTACAATTGAAGGAGGATATGCATGTGAATTTGAAATATTCATTACAATCAAATGTACTACTAAAATTAAAGAACAAATAATGATAATTAGTAAAACACTTAATAAAACACAAGAAGAAATAATTAAAAGTATTTCAATTAAAGGAGAAACACAAATATCAACACGACTTGATCCAGATGAAATAAAAGAAGAAAATAAAATAGGAGAAGGATCATTTGGAATTGTATATATAGGAGAATTTAGAGGAAATCAAGTAGCAATTAAGAAAATGAAACAAATTGATAAAGATGAAGATAAAATGAAAGAATTTGAGAAAGAAGTAATGATGTTAGATAAATTTCGAAGTGAACATATCATTCATTTTTATGGAGCAGTATTTATTCCTAATAAAATATGTATGATAACAGAATATGCAAAATATGGATCAATACAAGATTTAATTAATAAAAGAACAAACACTGAAATACCAAATAAAATAAGAATTAAATTCATGCTAGATGGAGCAAAAGGAATTTCATACCTTCATTCAAATGGAATACTACATCGAGATATTAAACCAGATAATTTTCTTGTTGTAACACTTGATGATAATATTGGAGTTAATTGTAAATTAACAGATTTTGGAAGTTCAAGAAACATTAATATGATGATGACAAATATGACATTCACAAAAGGGATAGGAACACCAAAATACATGGCACCAGAAATATTAAATCGAGAACATTATAAAATGGAATCAGATATATATTCATATTCAATAACAATGTTACAAATCATTACATGGGAAGATCCATTTCCTAAAACATTGTATCCACATCCATGGGATATTGCAAATACAATATCAACAGGTAAACGACCAACAATAATACAAGAAGTTGAAGAAGATATTAAAGAAATTATTGAAAAAACATGGAAACAAGAACCTAAAGAAAGAATAAGAATAGAAGAAGTAGTAAAAATGTTAGAAATAATTGAAAATAAAGAATGAAAAGAAACGTAAAAGAAATAGAATTAATATATTTCATTTAGTTCTATTAAACAATTTAATTTTATTAACATATTTTATCATTTCATTTAATTACAAATAAAGAAATGAACAATAAATAAATTAAAATAGAATACATTCATTCAAAATAACTATATAATAAACAAAATGAAAAATAGAAGAATAAAAATATAATAAATAACAAGAATGAATACATAATTATAAATTATAATATAATGAACTTGGTTTGATTATATTTGATAGAAATATTAATTGATTTATGAATGATAGAGATATTAATTAAATGATGTATTTGTTATTTTAATTTTATTATTGATATTGTTTTTATCTTCTTTTCTTTTAAATATAATTTTCATATTTATCATATAATTTAATTAATTTGTGAATTGAAGATACAATATCAGAAACATAACACAATTAATAAAATGAAATTAAACTTCTAATATCATTATTTATCATTATTTCTTTTATTAAAAATAAATAAATTATTGTTTAATTAATATGATTATTGTCATTCTTCACATTATTAAAATACATTGATGATGTTTAATGATATTTTATAAATCAATAAATTAAATGAAGAAGATTTAAATTGTAGAATATGAAATAAGAATAAAACAAAAGAGATGAAATGAATAATAAAAATGATAATAGATTTGATGATATAAATTCAACTAAACACATCAATACAATACTCTTGTATGTAGAGGATGATGAAATTAACAATAGTTTTAATAAAAAAAAACATCTTAAAATCATGAAATGATGAATATATAAATAAATATCATTAATTAGATTATTTTTTTATATTATTTTACTTTAGGTTCGAAGATAGCACAACAGAGACTCCACACAAAACCTTAAAATATTTCCATCTTCAAATCACCCAGTTATCATCTTATTATAGTGTTGCTATTGGATTGAAAAGACCTTACCCAATATTGCAAGAATAGCAGTGTTTATTATTTACAATGATGGAATATTATTGATAATAAAAGAATGGATATTTATAAAGTGGTATTATTACTTGTTAGGGTACAAAGCATATCTGATAATATAGGATTATCAAAGAAAAGGGGTCTGGCTTGATGCTAAAAAGAATATTAACTTATAGTAATATAGTAGTAATTTATATACTCTCCCTAAAATAATAAAATAAAGAAGAATTTTAATACTCATCAAAATCAAATAGAAATTAGATAATGAATATTTAAGCAATGGACGTTTAAATACTCTATTCCACATCAAATAAATGATAAAATGAAATTGTCATATTTCAACAACTAAAAGCTAAGAATAAACTAATATTTGATAAACAAAGAATCTTAAAGCAAAGGGATGGGATTAATCTCCCCTAAGCAAGGACAATAGAAAATAAAATTATTAACATTTAATTATTCCTTTTTTTAAATATAATAAAATGATTATGTTTTTTTAAAGCACATCCTACTTCCCTTCTGTATTTTACTTCAAATACTATCACACTTTTATGCTCTTTGTTCTTTGAATGAAAATGAAACTAGTAAAGCCATATATTCATTAAATTATACTTACGTTTTGGCAAAGATAGATCAGTATTATTTGTTAATATATAATTACAATATATTTCGATGTATTACTATAATCAAAAGTAAATGCTAATTCATTAAATTAATAAAAAATGGTTAATAAAGAAATTAATGAATTACAATATAATTATAATTAACAAATAATTATTAAGTTTTAATATCTTAGTCACTTAATATTACATTTATTTAAATGGTTGATACTAACAAAATAATATATTAATTTGAATGGGTATTTAATTATTTAATTGTGCTGGGCTTCGTCATTATGAAATAACTTTGATTCAAAGCCAAGAAGAATTTAAGAAAATTCAATTATTGTATAAGCTTTCATTTAAAAATTGTGATTTTATAACCATAACTTCACATATAAGTAAAAAATCTAAGAATCCTATACACAATTGCATATTACAAGTACAACAGCAAATAAAACTCTGATAGTTATACAATAAAAATAAAATATCTTTTTTATGAAAATATTATTAAGAAAGAACTTAACATATTATTTCTGTTTATTATATTTGATAATAGTATTTATCCAACTCTTAACCAACTTAATAATTTAATTTTTATTTTGAATATTCATTTTATTCAAATTAGTTAATCATCTATACAGATACACAACATTTATTTTATAACACTTCATTTAATTAATTGAGTAGTGTTTATAATAAATTTAGATAATTTATATTTCATTTCTTCAGTACTTGTTGTATGATTTATTATAGTTGTTTTATTATCAAAATAATTGACAAAAATAACGATATGAAAGTAGTTGTTTATTGATTAGTTAGTTTGTTCATTATACTTTTTTATTGATTACTATAAAAGCTATTTTATAAAGAAATATATATTTGTGTTATTATTAAAAGATTATTTAATTATTATGACACAATGTTTTAATTAAATCAATGAAACAAAGAGATAATTAAAAATGTTACTGTGGTTGGTTTTATTATAATATGTTTATTCTTTCACTTTGTTTATTCTCAATTATAAAATACATTGATTAACTAACACATAACCATAAAACAATAATACAATACAAAATTATCCAACAACCAAATCAATAAATGATATTGAATTGAATAATTCAATCAATAAAATACAACAATAAGTATATTATTGAATGACTTAATACAAAAAGAATAAAAGAAATTAAAGAAATGTAATAGAACCAAAAAAATGAAATAACTATATTATATCTCATTTATAAAACAATGAAAACATACTTTTTCAATTATTATCACTCTTCTTAATTATTTGTTTCTAACAATTGTTAAATAAAATGAATTTGAGTCTTTGTATAAAGAAGATGATAAAAAATAATAAAAAGAATTGATCAAAAAATTAAATTACTTATTTTGGGAAGTAATAAGATGATTTGTCATGGAAGTAAATTTGAGGATATAACTTGTTCTCTTTAACAATAGTATAAATTTGTTCTGGAATTGGATATTCAACTTCATCTTCTTTATCCTCTGGATTAGGGAATGAAATGTTAACAGCATCACATTTTGATGTATTAACAGTAGTATTACCATCAAGTGCTTTTTCAGATAAATGAACATTAACTGATTGTGACTTATCAATATTAACAGTTGGTGTTAATTCAATAACTCTAATATCAATTGAGTTACAATTAATAACTTCAACATATGAAACAATAGTATCACAAATTAAAGTAAGTTTCTTACATCCATCAACTGAAATACAATTAATCTTTCCATTAACTTTAACTGCTGAATTTTCACATTTAAATATATAAATGGAATCTTGGAAAGTACCATCAATTTCAATATTCTTATTACCATTATGATATGAAATGTCCCACTTATTAAGATTCTTTTCAATTTTTGGTGGTTTTTGAACTGTTGCTTTAGCTGTTGCTGGTTTTGATGTATTAGTAGTAACTTTCTTTGGTTCAAGTGGAACTTTATCTTCTGGTTTCATATTCTTAGTTTTCATATCAGCAGTAACATGTTTAAGTCCTCCAGAAATAGCTGTTCCTTTATTTAATTCTGCAAATAAACCAGCTGGATTTGCTTGTTGTTGTTTAATAACAACAGGTTTACTTTCTTCTTTTGGTGCTTCAGCCTTTGGTACAACAGGAGTAGTTTGTGCAGAAGCAATACCTCCTTTTGGATTCCAAGTAAGTCCAGTAGTATGATATTGTTTAATGTAAACAACCATTTCTTTTAAGAATTTAATGAAATTAAGTGCCCAATCATATTTATTTTGTTCTTTTCCTTTAGTAGCAACAAGAACTTTATTAGTATAAAATTCTGATCCTGGAATAAGATCTGCAACATATGGTGCTGGTGTTTTTTCAACACAAATCCATCCAAATACTGGAACAGCTTCTCCAATAGCACTAAGATAATTAATATATGGACTCTTGAAATTTTTATCTTTATATTCTCCAACAGCCATCATCTTTTCTGAAATTGGTTGAATCATTTTTTGGAATTCTTCTTGTGTTGGTTTTTGTGATTTTGCTGCTATTTCAATTATTCCTGATACTTGTTCTGCAACATTAAGGAATTCATTCATACATTTCCCAAGAACTTCATCAAATCCTTGTGCTGCTTCAACTTGTGGTTTAAGATATTCTTCAATAAGTTCTTTGAATGCTTGTACTGCTTTTGGAACATCACCACTTTCACTTGGTGAATTACTTGTACATGAATTAGTATTGCTAGTATTTTTTCCTTCTAATTTTTCTAATCTTGCTGTGACTGTTTCAAGTCTATTCATGACTTGAGCAAGAAGAGTTTTTAATTCTGCTTCAGTTGACATCAGATTATTTTATTATTTTCTAATTCAAGTTCCTTTTTGAACTTCTTTTTTATTTTTTAGTTTGACGTTCATATTTTTAGTTTTCTTTTTATTTGATAGTTAAATTATCACTTTTTTATTTCTTTTTATTATTTTCTTTTCAAAAATAAAAAAATTTTATTTAATTTTCCTTTTTTTTTAACAATGAAAATCATTTAAAGCTCTTCTTTGTTTTCGTCTTTCTTATCTTCTTCTTCTTTCTTATCTTCTTCTTCTTTCTTATCTTCTTCTTCTTTTTGTTTTTCTTCTTCTTTTTTAGCTTCTTCTGCCTTTTTTTCTGCTTCTTTAATTTCATCTCTCATTTTCTTTTCAGCAGCATTTCTTTCTAAAATAATTTTAGCTTCTTTTTCTGCTTCTTCAATATCATCAGTAATTAAAATATCATCATAGATAGTTCCTGCTTTAACTTGCCAAACATCAATTCCAATGTAAGCAAATGAATCATATTTATATAATTCTGGATCATAAACATAATCTGGATTTGCAATTTGTGGATGTACCCATTCTCCTTTATATGCTGGATTAGGAATTCTCTTTGGCTTCCATTCTCCTTTGTATTCTGGATTTTCAATTGTTGGTGCTTCCCATTCTCCATCATCTTCATCATTCCATTCTTCTGGTTTTTTAGCGTTAGGATCAACAATAGTTTTAGGAATATCATCCCATCCTTCTGGTTTCTTATCATTTGGATCATCAATTTCCTTTTCATCTACCCAATCAGCTGGTTTTGAGACATTTGGATCATCAATTTCTTTTGGTGCTAACATATCCCAATCTTCATCAAATTTTCCTTCTTGTTTTTCTACTCCATCAATTTTAACAACATATGTATTATTTGGTCTAATAATTAATGTGTATAAATGTGAAATATCATCTGATTCACATCTAATTTCTTTTCTAATTAAATTATTCTTTCCTTTGTAATTCATAATGACATGAGTTCTTTTTGATCCTCCACATACATCTGGTCCAAACATAATATTATATTCAGATTCTGGTGTAAATTTCTCTTCACTTTCAATTGATTTCTTTGGAAGTAATTTAATATATCCTCCTCCACAATCAATTCCTTGTTCAAATTTAAGATTATATTGAACAATTAAATCTTTATCTTTGTTACTAAACTCTTCATCAAGTTTAGCTGCTGCAATATAAAATTTATTGTCTTCAGATGTTTGAAGTCCTTTATTATTAGCATCTCCATACCATTTACCACTTACAATTTTAAATGGTCCAAGTGTCTTTCCTGATGCTGTAGAATCGATCCATTTGTCTCGATTCTCAAACGTTTCATGGAAGTAAACCTTAGCACTACTTAGTGCAATGAGAAGGAAAAGTGTAAACATGTTCTATTGTTTTCATTTCTTGAAGTTCTTTTTATTTTTTTCGCCACGTAACAACTCTGTGGCACCTTTTGAGCATATTTCTTTATTCTATTTTATTTCTTCATTTATTTTATTATTGACTTTGGTGTCAGGAGGTAGTGTGTTTATTAGATATTCTTTGGGTAATTATTCATTGTTGTAGAATAGGGATATTGTCATAAATTTTATTAAGAGAAAAAAGTGATAAAAGATAAGTTCTGACTATTTCAAAATCCAAAAAATAACATTTTATTAGTACTTTTTTTATTTCTTTTAGTTTCTTATAAAATGTTGAAATTTTAATAAAATGTTATATATATCAGATTATAGATGTAACAAAATTATTTTTTAAATTGCTTGCTTTTTTTACTTTGAAACAAAATAAAAGTATATCTTATTTTATTTCTTTTCAAATTACTTGAAATTACTTCATTTTACTGTTATGGGTATATGTTAATTCTAACAATTAAGAATAGAAAAAGAAAAGTAAAATAACAAAAGAGTTTCCTTTCTTAAATAATACAATTTAATATAATTTTACCATTGTTGAGTATGGTTTATCAATAAGTGAGTGTTTGGCTTTACTAATTAGATAAATACAAAATGTTCGGATGTGTATTTTATTATTCGTAACAAATTAGGTTGAAAGAATTAAGAGTCAATACTCATAATATTTTAAACTCTTTATATAAGACTTACCACTTTTATATAAGGTCTTTTTTGATAATTAAATAATTATTTATTCTAATATTTTTTAATGTAATATGAAAATAATTCAGACTAACATAAATATTTTTATCGGAGAAGAGAAATTTAATTTAATATTAAAGTTGAATAAAATTATTGAAAAACAATAAAATAAGAATAAAAAAAAAATTGTTATAAAAAGACTGTTTTTTAAGTCCATTTTTTTAAATTGAAAAGAACAAATAACATAAACTAAAGTAAATGGTTCAATTACCATATATAACGTAACAACATAAAATTTACATCAACTTTAAAGAATAATTAAAAAATAATTAAGTGAAAATAGAAATAACAAATTTAATTAAAATGTGTTTTTCATTGTTAACAAAATTTTTGGTAAAACATTATTCAACCTTTTTAATAAGTCTTTGTCGAATCCAAAAGGAGTAAGTGATGGCCATTCTACTAAAACAGAATTTGAATTTTCATGAATTAAAATATAAGGCACATTTTCCTTAATACAAAACTCTTCTTCTGTTTCTTTTTTAACAATTTCCTTAAGACTCTTTTGATTGGTTTCATCTTTATCTTGTTCATTTTTATTTTCATCTTTTTGTTGTTCAACCTTAACTTCACCTTTATTTGTTTCTTCTTTAATTTCTTCTTTCTGTTGTTCGTCTTTCTGTTGTTCATTTTTTGTGATTAAATCTTTGTTTATTTGATTAATATTATCATATGCTTTTTGGACGTCATCTTTACTTTTTAAAACCATGGCAGATTCAAATTTATTTGATAAAAGATCAAGTACTAAATCAAGACTAACATCTTCAAGTTGAGGAATTTTTCTTGGACGATCTTTTTTTTCACTA